TGAGAGTGATGTGCCTGGATTCTATGCACAGAGGCCAGGGGAGCTGGGATTCCCTCCTAAGCCTTGCCTTCTGCCTCTCTTCATTTGACTGCTTTGCTTGATTTATATGCTTTATAATGAAATGTGGCTGTGAGAAGCATTTTCCTAAGCTTTATGAATCATTTTAGCAAATTATGGAATCTAAAGGATTCGTGAGAACCCCTGAATTTATAGCCAGTGAGATGTATTCGAGTCCAGGGGATCCCCAAAGTGTGGCTAGTGTCTGAAGTCAGGGCAGTCTTGTTGAGGTCAATGCCCTTTATCTTGTGGGGTCTGTGCTTAGTAGTGAGTGTCACTATGGGACTGCAGTTGAGGTTGAATGAAAAATTGTCCTTCAAGGTCCAATCTGAGATGGTGGGGAGGGTGGAGTGAGAAGCATGAAAATGAGGCACTACAACTGCTCACAGGTGGATTTAGCAGGAAGTTAACAAAAAGTTTGAGTTTCAGGCCTCTCACAAGCTTTTTCCAAGGCTCTGGAATGATCCCTCAAGGGTGTTCATATGGTCTCAAACTTTTACAAAATCTGTAAACATAAGACATGTTGTATTGCGTGTTTTAAAAAGATCCTAGATCAGTCCAACGACCAGATTCTAGAAACTTTGGGCTAGATAAACCCTGGCAGTGACTTAGCCACAGGTGAGGAAAAGGCCAGCTCCACTGCATCCCACATGTTCTAGCCCAGTGTGGAGGAAGCAGTCAAGAGTTTGCAGACCCCCAAACAGGACACAAAAGAGCTGACAGTATTACATGACCAATGAGGCCAGGGGTCTTAATGAGATGTCCGAATGTGGGACAGCTTCTGGGTGGAGACTGTGGCCAAGTCACATGTCAAGCCCTCCTGGGACAGCAGCCCTGTAGAGAGACCTGTTGGAAGCATAGGATGGGAAGAGAACCAGGTCACCATCCCCAAGGCCATGCTGAAACCCAGCTTCTGCCTTTATCCAGATGCCATTTGGGGAAGGAAATTAGGATGGGAGCCCCCAGGAAACAGCCCACTGAGTAAGTGAATACTGAACTACCCAGCCCCCAAAATTGGCTACCACCCAAGAAATTAAAGTTTAAATAAAAACAGGGATTTCAAAGCAACTTAAAATATTCACTTTTTAAAAAACTGAATTGTTTAAAACATTATGAATGCAGAAAAAAAATATTCTTTAAAGTCCTCCACCTAAATAGACTCTCTCTAGGACATGGCAGAAATTTTTAGCATACTATGATTACAGGGTAAAACCTGTTCATAATGAAACTATAACACATTTTTAAAGTAAACAGCAGGATCACTTAAATTTTCCATACATGTGCTAAGGCAGAGACTGAGGCAAGACCAGAGTCTTGCCTTCTTGGACTTGGAGCCAGACCACATTTCCTAGTGTCTTTTGCAGCCGGACTGGCCATCTGACCAAGTTCACAGTGGAATGTGGGCAGACATGATGTGCAACCATTTAGGCACAACCCATCAGAGCTCCACATTGAGGGCGCCATGCTGTTTTCACCATTTCCATTCATGAAGACAGAATGACCAAGCTGGCAGAAGCTATATCAGCCTGGATCCCTGAATGACCCGCTAGAGAAAAAGTGCCTAACCAACCAGGAATACCTACCAAGAACTTTTATCTGAGTGAAAAATAAACTTTGATTTTTTTTTTTGATAGGTCCCTATATAGGTGTATCCATTGTAGCCCAAGTAGTGAACATCACATTCTTACACATCATCTACATTCTTATATATCGATCCAGAGCTATTTCAATGTAGTGATCAATGAGCACTTATTATTTGCACATGGAAACCCCAAATTCTAACAACATATAGATCCAGCTGACCAACTAATAAAGAAATCAGGCAGGTTGGCAATGACCAGGAATACTAGGAAATTGGAACTGAACCATGATAGGACAACCAAAGGAGTGTGAGTGCACAGTGGAAAGGAAAGCTAGCATTTACCTGTAAAGGCACCACATCAGAGGCAGCCGTTGAGTTGGGCCTTGAAGGATAAGCAAAGATCAAAAGAAAGAGGAGGGTAGGGAAATTCATTCCAGAAGGAACATAAGTCCTGAAACATTTTATCCATGGGGCTGTGATGCTAAAGACAGACAACATATTGTTCTATTCAGTCCAGGAAACAGAATCAAGGCCAGTGAGAAGCAGCTACAGGGAGAGAAGCTTCCACCCAAAGGGGAGGAAGAACTAACAATCTGGGCTGACCTTGAACCAGAGGGGCTATGCAGACAAAAAGGTAGTGTGCTTCCTTTGAGGGCTGGCCAGCCTCTTGGCATGGGCACTGCACAGGCTGCAATTTAAGCACGAGATGGTAGCTGCACCATTCAGCTGCCTTCCAACTCTGGGATTCTGTGTATCTCTGATGCCTCAGCCAAGCAGCCTTTGTGCAACATTGCCAGGAAAACAGAAGAATTATTTTAGCCCTGTTAGAGCATTTCTTATACGACAGTCCTTGCCAATCTCCCTTTTAAGGCTGTGTTGGCCGGCTTTGTGCAACGTGTTCAATCATCGGCCAGTAGAGAACATCTCTTCACATCCAGGCCCTTAAGAACCCCTGGAATTTCATTTCATTAGAACAAAAACTTAATAGGCTGACATTAAACAGGACTACTACTGGTGAACAAGAAAACCAATGATACTAGGCATCTATGCTGAGTGCTGTGTTAATCATACATCCTGCTTAAAAGCAAGTTGCCAACTCACACAAAATATAGACAGTTTTCAAATGACTCATTTATAAGAAGATATATTCCAGTAAAGCTCTACTGGGAACAGCTTCCGCCTTCTTGGATGACTTGATATGTTGTGAGGCACCTTAAGGTTAAAATTGCAAATATCAATTTCCGTAGCATAGTTTCATGAAAGAAACTAGTTTTTCATTTTTAAGATGTGACTACTATGGATAAAAAAGGGAGTCTACTAGACTCTAAAAAGAGAAATTCTACCCCCAAATTCCTGGTAAGTTAATAACTTTCCATTTTGCTGAGATCATATTTTCATTTTCACAAGCATTCATTGGGTCTCTAAGACAAGTTAGGCATAGGATTACCATCAGTAATATAAGCTGTATGAAAAAGAAAAAAAAGGGGCTGGGGATGTGGCTCAAGTGGTAGCGCGCTCGCCTGGCATGCGTGCGGCCCGGGTTCGATCCTCAGCACCACATACAAACAAAGATGTTGTGCCCGCCGATAACTAAAAAATAAATATTAAAATTCTCTCTCTCTCTCTCTCTCTTTAAAAAAAAAAGGTGACTTGCACTTGAAAACTTCCTAAGATTCATAATGTTATCTTTCTTAAGAGCAATTGTCAAGACTTGTTTTGTTATGTTTGAAAGAGGTAAGTTGGGCTGCATTCTTGACCAATAAACAGGGCTATTTTGCCTGTAATATCTGGAAATTATTCACATCAAAAATTTGATTTTAAAATAATAGTTTAGATTATGGTTGTTTCATCTGTAACAACATTCCAGGTACTTCATTTACTGCTTAAATAAAAGAAAGGAAATAGAATTTTCCTGAGCTCAGAAATAAGTATTAAAAAAAAAAGCCCACATTAAAGAATGAATCTTCATCATACAACTACAAACCCAACAGTGAAACAAAGGAAATTCACAAAACCATATTCTGAGGCTACTGGACTATCTGAAGGTCTATGATAGTGCAATGATCACACAAGAGTTACATTTTATATGCAATTGTTCAGCCATAAACATGAGTGATGCCTTTGTTAGTCTCTTTTCAGAATCCCATAGACTCCAATCTTTTCAGAATCCAGGTCACATCCCTCTCATCATACAACACTCTGAGCAAATCACATCTCAAGGGCTACCAAGCCCTGTCTGCCTCTGATAGCCAGTCTCAAGATTCGTTTCCTTGCCTTTCTACCCACCTACCAACTTATGCTCTGGGTCCTAAAATCCTCATCTTGCAAAGCTTGAAAACTGTAATCCCCTTTGAGAAAATGAATAAATTCCCAATGACTGCTTCTATTTGATTTGGTTTTTACCCAACTGTGCTTACTATTTCCAGCGTGCATTTACTGGCCCTGTCTGGAATATATGCCCTAGGTTGCTCTCTCTGTCAAGGTACGAAGCCTGCTCCCAGTAATTAAAAGTAGAGCTAAACCTTCAAATGAGACAACTACTTTGAACAATATTCACACATGTGGCTCCCATGATCATTTTGATATTTCTATGCTCCCCAAGGAAAATTGTGGGATTTAACTCCCCAATCAAAACAAGGAATCACCATTTTTCCAAAGGGGAAAAAATACAAACAAACCCTAAATAACATTTCGAACCATCAGTGAGCCAAGTCCCAGGCTCCAGTCTGCACTTGCAATAGACAGATGAGATCAAGCCAAAATCGAGCACGCAGTCCATCAGTACCCACTGATTCTGTGATTTCCAACTCTGTCCTGACCTCTCTGGCCTTCAACTTTGTTGTCAAACCAAGACTATATAAAGGCACTTTCCAGATCTGAATTTGCTTTGGGCCTCTGAAATAACACAGAAAACAATGCTATCCCTGAACTATCTCTGTAGGCCTTGCCAAAGTAAAACCCCTGATCAAAGACCATGAAATGAGGGGGAACAATTAAAAAGATCTCTAAGGTCCCCTTCCTCATTCTGATTCTCAGTTTGAGACAGTAAGGCATGACTAGGCAATTGGTCATAAAACATTAGTGGGTCTCAAAGCTCTAATAACTCTGTGCATCCAATGACCAATTCTGCTCTAGCAAAAAAAAAAAAAAATGCTTCATTACAGGTTTTTCCAAGCACTGCCCCAAACCATAGAATGACTCTACTACACCAGCACAGCAAGTCCACTGTCTATGTTCAAGAGCTCCTCTCATTTTACCAGCAACTCACCTGCTCAGAGAATACCAACTCTGAGCTCCTGATCTCTCCAAGCCACCAGACACACTCTGAGCACCAAGGACAGGTTGAAAAAGCCACACCTACCCTGAGCCACTGCTTCTCTGTGAGGGCATCGCTGTAGTCCACGTCACGACGCTGGCGAGACCCCCGACCAAATATTTTCTCCTCCTCTTCTTCACAGGTCAGCCTTTCTACTTCGGCATCATCCTTAATAATCCAGGAGGGCAGCTCGTCTTCCTCCATTAATCGAGGCTTGCGTTTTGGATTCCGGGCATCTTCCCTCCGCCGGTCCATGTCCATACGCTGGAGATACAAATAAAAGAGTCACCAAAGGTAAGGAGCTTCTGGGGGCTTCTGTTTGGTAAGTATAAACTTCACAGGACCTACAACTTTCATAAGGCGTTGTATATGGCTGCAGGGTCCCTTTCAGTCTCTTTTATCCTGATTGACTTGTTCTGCCCATCCCTAAAGCACAGTATCTAGGGAGAATTTTTACCAAGTCAAATCCCTTCCCTTCCTCTGAACCCATGTTTTGAATTTAGTTATGCATTTAAAAAATACTCTTTTAAGAATTCCTTTTCTTAGTCTTCATGCGTGCAAAGCTTCCCGTTAAGTAATTGTGAGAAAATTCAAGGTAAGGGGATGCATCTTAAAAATATGAGCCCTGACTGTACAATTAATTATTTTCCTGAAAGAATTCTTTGAGCATATAAAAAAGAAAGTTCATTAAGAACATTTCCTTTTATTTGAGAGGGCTCATGCTTTTAATTAAATAACTGGCAGGGAGAAAAAGTAACCCAAGATATCACTGCAGAATAGCCACCCATAATTGGGCATGTGGAGGGAATATAAGAGGTTTGATTAAGTCAGTTGTCATGAATGCACTGGATTTTCATTATACAACGGGCACTATCAGAGGGATACTCTTCAATTTTTACTTTTTAAAAGTTTAGCTTGTATAAAAATATTATACCAGAGAGAGAGAGAGACCTCAGAGATAACCTCATCTCCACTGACCACTGACCATGTTCTATGTGAAACAGCTTCCTTTTATAGACTGCAAAATGCCAACATCCCCACCTCCTGCTCTTTTTAAAAATCTAGTTCACTTTTAAATAAATTGTCACATACTTGGCTTTGAACTAAACAATCTGATAAAAAAGAGTAAATAAAACTGTCACCTGAGTTGCTATATACGTTAGTTATATTTATATATCACTCGCTAGATATATTATTTCCACAATCAAAGAGACCATTAATCATTAAGTTATTTACCTTTCCCTTTCTTCGGTTCTATCGTACTGAAACAGGGATTCGATATATCATTTTTCCTTAAAAACTAAAACTGATAAAATGTAAATGAAGTATCTACTACTCAAACCCAAATGTGACCTGTACAACCTATTTATAATTAAAGGTCAAAGCTCCTTAAACTATGCTTTAACATTTTTGGAAATCATTATATTTCCAGAATGGGGTAGGCTTGGGGACATGGTGAAGTCTCATTGGTAGATAAAAGTGGCCAACCTGCTCTGTCATGTGCTATACTTAGCTTGCAATGCTCTGCTTAATCCTGCCTTCTAATGCTTTGGTATCAGAAATGGGAGCCACCAAACCTTCAAAATTAGCTCATAGAGGATGCTTCGTTTATAGAATGATCTAAAGAAGGGTTGCATGGGGCAACCTTCTAATGGTTGTTAGATAACTAATAAGAAAAAAAAAAAAACAACTTTTGTTAATATCCTATACTGAGAAGACCAAATATGGCCACTCCAATTTTTGGTCATACTGCTACTATTACCTATGTGTTTTTCCACAACTGAGAGTACAAATATTTGAGTACAAATATTTTCTGGACTAGACGCAAATCATGTAGTGTGCTTATCTAACATGTATAAGGACCTAGGCTCTCTCTACTCCCAGCACCTACACACACACGCACACACACATACACATACACACACAGAGCAAATTGCATAATTTGCTTCATTTTTAGGAAAGGTAGATGCAATTAGAGATTCTACTTGGAAAATACCAGTACAAAATCTTAAGTCAACATTTAAGAAAAAGACTAATTTCTTATTTAGTTACACATAAATATTTGTCTTAAGACTTGATGATAAACCTGTATATACCGGTACAATTATTTTAAAAAGTATTTCTTGCCTTTGTAGAAAATGTAGCTTGTGAAAGCAGAGTAAAATATTTCAGATATATATCTTGGACTGTCAAATTACTTTTTTGGGGGGTGGGGTGGGTAACTGGGGATTGAACCCGGGAGCATTCTACCAGAGAGTTATATCCCCAGCCTCTCCTTACTCCCGCTTTTTTCTAAATTCAAGAAAGGGTCTCACTAAGTTGCTGAGGCTGGCCTTGAACTTAAAATCCTTCTGCCTCAGCCTCCTGAATAACTGGGATTAAAGACGTGTGCCACTGAGTCTGGTACAAAGAACTTTTTAAGGTAAATTCACACAGGATATAAGGTAACTTTTTCTGAAGTCAATTTTTAGAAGTGATATAAATGTTTAAAAGAATGGTTCTAAAGAAACGGCTTATTATGTGTTGTTTAGTGTCCATGATATAAAACCAAATGATAAATTTATATTAATTTTAGAAAGAACTTATTTCTTTATAATAATGGATACAGTGTTTAAATATTTGAAACCTGGAGACTTATTCTAGCTCACATTCCATTCTTGTTTCTCACTAAACTTTTTAATCAAGAGTAGCTGGCAAGGATTCAAATTTTACTTCCTGCCCCCTGGTGGAGGTGCTAATGAATAGTGAATCGGACAAAGACAGCCAGCAGATTAGGTTTTTAAAAAACCAAAGAAAATTCTGCACAATCCTCAAAATAGAAGCCAACCTTTAAGAAAAAGGCATGAAAAATCACAAATTCAAAGCATCTAAAAAAATGTGTTCCCTACCAGTCTCACCTATTATAAGACTGTTCTTCATGTACCATATTCCCAAGTGAAAAGAAACTGTATCTTGGGCAGACATATACATTTTTTCCTAAGATTTTCCTTTTTTTTGGTACTGGGGATTGAACCCAGAGGCTCTTAACCACTGAGCCACATCCCCAGCCTTTTTTATTTTGAGACACGGTTTTGCTAAGTTGCATAGGGCCTTGTTAAATTACTGAGGCTAGCCTCAAACTTGTGATCCTCCTTACTCAGCCTCCCAAGTCTCTGGGATTACAGGCATGTGCCACTGTGCCCAGCTCTGAGGATTTTAATTTCTATAAATCTCATCCCAAAAGTAAGGAAGGAGAAGTTTCTCTTTCCCTTATTTCAGGGCAGCTGATGAACTCTCCATTTCTGGGCCTAACTTCATTTCTATACTGGCAGGCAGTTTATCCTCTCCACATCACAAGAGAACTTGGACCCACAATCATGCTAAAGTGTTGCCAATCAGCGATCAGCTGGGAAATTGAGGACCTCTCACCTGGGGGTTCTCCAGTCACCTATATTTTAATAAGTTCCTTAAAGAGAGAGGAGGTATCTCTTTCTGATGTGTACCCCTCATCTCCTGAAATAGAGAATAATCCATACATGTGGTGAACAAAAGGAATGAAGGAATTCAGGTTTTACAAAGGTCTTACCAACACCCCATGTTGGTCAGCAAGTATTCTTACTGCTCTCTCTCTCTCTCCTGGGTAGGGTGGCTTACTTAGGGGAGAGCAGAGGAAGCATACACCCCAGTTGAAGAGTTTAGGAGTTATAACTACCTGAATTTTCCTGAGAAAGAGTTAATTGCCAATTATTGTAAACCATTATGTGTGGACACAATCAGTGCTCCCTAGACAAAAATCACACACACACATGCATGCGCACACACACAAAACCCCACAAAAATAACGTAAGCATCTACACAGCTGCAGCTCCATTCTCAAAGACTGTCTAGGTTGGAACAGCAGAAATTGCAAACCCTCTGGGTCATATTTGGCTGCAGTTGTATTTTATTTGGCCTGCACTGTTATACAATAACAATAATAAAAGCTCTGAATTTAGTTGCAAACATTCTGAAATCCAGACATTGCATATTAAAAACATTGATTTCCACCTTTTCTGGAAAATTTGTACTTTCTGGCTATGTAGGTCTCACATTTCTACCTGGTCATTCTGTTCTCAGACATAGCACCTCCAATACTTACTCTAGTTGCTTTCCTCACACTCAGTAGATCTAGCTTATCTGAGTTCTGAGGGCATCTCTGATTCCTGGGTTCTGCAGCATTATACTATCAAAGCTATGGTGAACATGTATTGACTCCCTTCACAATCAGGCTAAATGTCTTTGATGAAAATAAAAATGAAGGTACTAGAGGAAACTTTATATATCCAGATCCATCTTATCTTCATAAAGCCTAACATTTTGCAAGTATCACCATTCATTCAATAATACCTAAAGCAACTAATACACGCAAAGGGCTGCTGTGGTCACTGAATATAGAGAGTGAACAAAACAGCTACAGCAAAAGCTTTAAGAAGACAGCAAACACCACTCTAATGAGCCACTGCACAGGTCTCCCCAACAGCTTGCTCCCCGCAAACACAGCTTGTACTAGGCCTCACATGTAAACCAAATTCAGATCTCAGGAAAATTACAGAAGCTATACATTATGGAATTTCAAAGTTAAAAACACGGACATTAAATTCTCAGATGCCAAGGTTCTTTTATACCTACTTTGTACCAGTGAAATCCAGGCAGTTCTGTTCTTTATATGAAGGCTAGACCTCCCTTTATACACACCTGCAAGATTCCTATGTGCTTAAGCAGGCTCTCTTGCAACAGTGAGAAGACGCGCACCTGTGTCGTTTTTAGTGGCTGTTCCCTGCTCTGTTTTTGCTTTGTTCTAGTAGGGAGACAGCGAGGGCACAGTTGTAAACTCAAATGTCTACAGGAGCCAGGCAGGTTTCCTGAATGACTCTGGCCTGAGATTAGAAGCAATCTAGGTGTGGGGGGTCTATGGTAAGCTGGAGACCACATGGCCTGTCCAGAGGGTGCAGCTGCTACTCAGCACTGGCCAACCATTTCCACACAGAGCTGTGGGCCTGATACTGCCCAATCTCATTTTTCAAGAGAAGCCAGAAATCAGGATTCTTTTTATGTTGGCAACAAATGCGAAATTTTTAAAAAAGGCTGCGTGGGCCAAACAAAATACGTCTGCAGGCTAAATCCAGCCAGTTTGCAGACTCTGAACTAAAGGAAAGGCACAGGCTTCACAGATGAAGTTCTGCCAGGGCACACAGGCTCCAGGCAGCTTGCTTGGCTAACAGAAAAAGGGGGCAGAGAAGGCAGGCATGGGTTGTCATGATTTTCTGCAACATTACCATAAAAAGGTCAAATTCTTCTTCTCGCCGAGCAATCATTTGGTTCAGAGTCTCATCGTCCGGTACTTCATCTTCTTCCTGGGGTTAAAAACAGAATGATTGAACAGGCTTTAGGAGAAAAGCTGGACAGCTGGGGGGAGGTACAAACAAGTGAGGGGAATCTGTCTTCCACGCCAGGGGGGGCCCGTTTTTGAAGCCAGAAAGAAAAGAGAAGGGCCCCTGCATGTAGTACTTGCCATTCGTATTTTGTAAGCTATTCATATCATCTTCCCAGAGCAAAATCTGTCTAGGGAGGAAATGTGCTGCACTCTAAGAAACACTGCTTCTCCTGGGTGTGTATCTTGATTCTGTTACTTTTAAAACAGTTACTTAATGTCTCCCCGCCTCAATGACCTCATCTATAAGATGGGCGTGACATCTACTTCACAGGGGCTTGTAAGATTTAAATAAGGAAATCCACATGTAAAATTACTTAACATTAATTCTTTTAATTACATGGTCTTAAAGATCGCAAATGTTAATGCTTCTTTTCAAAGCCTCACAAAAAACTTGAGTAAATGAAATTTTGCGACTCAGCACACAGCAAGACCAAAGAAATAATAGATATGTACCAAATATATAAACTTTTTTTGTGTGTGTGGTTCTGGGAATTGAACCCAGCGCCTATGTACATTCAAGGCAAGCACTCTACCAACTGAGTTATGTCCCCCACCCCCAAGTATATAACCTTTAAGACATGTTCAATCAATGATCAATGAATTTAAGTAGGCACTATTATTGATCATGGTTACAGCTGTGGTTGGAACAATTCAAAAGCTATCATTAACAAACCCTCCAAAAGAGACAATTAAAAAAAGTTACATGAAGTACAGAAAGCAATTACATATGGGCTAAAGCTTTTTACTTTATATTATGTTAAACTGGGGCCTATTATCTATCTGCTAATTCCTCAGAAACCAACAGTTCTCAAGTGTTCCAGAAATGTTATGCTATGACTTCCACACTTTTAACAAATGATTCTAAAAACTGGGCATATACTATAGAACTTATTTTCCAAAATAATTTCCATCATATGCTGAGTGGGCTTGTTAAAAATCAAATGGGGAATTTCAGTATATCAGCAGAGGGAAGAAAGAGGAAAACACAGAACTTCAAACATCCAATTACACAAATCATATGTTTAAAATGAGGCAACTGTTTCACAAAAAGAATATGAGTGAACTAGCAGCTTAAATCAGATGACGACGTCAGTTCCCAAGATAACATCTTATGCACTGTAGGAACTTAATAAGTGTTAGAAATGAGTGCAATTCAATAATGAAAAACCTATGATTTGAAATAATAATTACTGCTGAAAAAAACCTGCTATTCTAGTTCACCTCCAGATTGATTAAAGTCAATCTGTCTAAATATTACATTTCATCTGATGAAGACACAGATTAGGTGGAGAGTGGGCTCAGACCTCCTGGTACAAAATATCTGGTGAATGCTTCCTCCAAAAGCAGATGTCCTCCTTTGCCTACTGCCTTTAGATAGAACTCCATGTTATCCTCTCACATCCTACACAATGAGGCTTTGTTGTCCCCAGGCCAAAGATGAAAAGATTCTCCTGTGAACTGGTAGGAAAGCTGCCCCCTGTGACCTGAGTTCCTGGAGAACTGAACGGCTGGGAAGTTGGTAATGCATTTTCCTGGGCTCTCTGTGCCCTAGTACTTCCTGGTGCACCAACTGAAGTGGTGCCAATCCATGCTGCCTTGGATAATCAGGACCAGGGACTTTGACTGTGGTCTATCTGTATCCCCCTTGACTTAACATCAGGACACAGGCTATCCTGAATGTGATAACATTTGTCCAACACACTGGTGGCCTGGAAGGGATGTGGAGCCCCAGCGGGGCTGCTTACAGCTAGAAGCAGCTGGCAGGGATTCACTGAAGGCCCCACCTGGCTAGCCTAGTGCCTGGGAGAGATCAACATCTCCTTTTGGCTCAGGAAGGCTGGAAAACTCCACCCAGGTCAGGGACTATTTTTCACAAGGCCTACAAAAAACAAATGAGCAAAAATGCAGTCGAGATCTCTGGCTGAGTACCACCTCTGCTCACAGGCGCCCTGTGACAGTATACGTCACTCATCACTGTGGTTTTTTGAAATGGCCAAATGTGTAAACGACAAAAATTCACCTGACAAACTGACTCCAAGTCTGCCTCGAATATTCAAATTCAAGAATCAGAAACGGTGAATGATTTGAGATAAAAATTCTGGACCTGTCAAGAGTATACATGTATGTATTTTTCATCATTTTTATGAAACCCAATAGATTAACTAATCAAATATATAAGGCCAACAAACTTAGGAGGCATAATAGCAAAGTGCTTTCCAATTTGCAAAGAATTCATTTCAGGATTCCTTGAGATATAAAGATCTACTTCACATTTGAATTCATTTCAGAAACAAAAAAGTATGTGAGCCTTTTAAAAGAATTTGGTTTTTAATTTATAGAAGACTTCAAAAATACATATCCTACTTAAGGCAAAATGAGATTATATCTAAATATATGTGTTGAAGATGGTATTCCATGTGAATATATAAGGTAAACTATGCTTCTGTTTATAAGTGTGGGCACACAAAACCAAATTTGTCCATCCCCAGCCAATTTTAGGGTAAGGACTGGTGGTGGTATTTTATAGTTTTCTAGACCTTATAAATATGTTTTTAAATCTATTTCAAATTCATTTTAGATTTTTTTTTCTTTTTGTGGTGCTGGGAATTGAACTCAGGGCCTTGTAAATGGTAGGCAAGCCTTGTACTGCTGAGCTATATCCCCAGCACCAGAATGAATATTCAGTAAAAAAATGACTAAAATTGGCAATCTGTAAAATATACAAATGGACACCAAAAGATTCCCTAAAAGAAATGTAATCATCACATTCTTTGTACAATCTTGGCAAATAAAAAAGATTTTTTAAACCAGTATTTTTCTCAGCCTTGGGTCAGCTCTTAGAAAAAATTTTAAGGGGAGGTTAAGGTCAAACTTGAACTAAATGAGCTAGTCTAGATGTCTGTGAAGGTTTGTCCTACAAACATGTTGAAGTGCTGTCATCACTGACCAAAAGGCCACAGAGACCAAAGGCTCTGGAGGGCCAAAGAAGAAAAGGCAAAGTAGGACACACTTCCAGGTCTCATCTGGCTGAGTTTGTACCTGCCAAGAGCCCTACCTGCAGTATGGCATTTGCCCTACAGGAGGCAGCATTTAGTACACAAGACTGTGCTTGATGGTGGCCTTTTGGGCCCTCTGGCAATAGCTTGCAAGACATTCATTTGGATAACTTTCAGAGGTTTACTGTGCTTGGGATATAAGACAGCAGCTAATTTATTCATTTTAATTAAGTCCAGCTTGAGAAATTCTTTAAAGAACAAAGGGGTTATTCTTAGTCCTTCAGAGACAAAAGGTCACTGTTTGATTTCATAAACTTGGCTTCTTCTAATACCTCATTTTCTTCTTCATGCTCCAATATGGCCTGCAGGAACGCCCTCCGCTCGTGGCTCGAAGACTTTTGATCAAACATGCCCGCCTGGATAACTTTCTGATCCACATTCAGTTTGTATTTTGCAGCTGCAAGAATCTTCTCCTCCACACTGTTCACCGTACAAAGTCTCAGCACTCGGACCTCATTTTGTTGACCAATGCGGTGAGCTCGGTCTTGAGCTTGCAGATCCTGTTTGCAAGAACAATACACTGTGAGGACAGAGGTGCCTGGATTAGCCCTGCCAACAAGCCCCTACATAAGAGGGAAATAAGTGGGCACTATTTAATCCACCTTTTCTAGGGTAAGGTTTTGCTTACATTTTTAAAATACACAAGCTACTTTCTTTAGAAAAATCTGAGGTCATTCCTAGTTGAGGAAGTTTGATTTAAATCAACCAACCCAACCAGAAAATAACACCTCAGGTTTTGAAATCCATGTCTCAGAATATTGTTTTTCGCCATTTATTATTTACATGCATGCATATGTACATTATATATAATGATTGCTCAGCTAGCCAACTTCCTGGGACCTAACTTTATTGAAGGCTTAGTCTTTAGTTTAGAAAATGAGAAGGACTGCTAGGGACTCAGTAAACTGATGAGCTTTTGGGGATAGAAATTTGGCATAATGTACTAAGATGTTAAAATTGAGTATGGCTTGGATTCAGAAATTGCGCTCCTGAAAATTTGTCCTAAAGAAACCACCATGAATATGCATAAAGATTTATAAATAAAAATGTATCTTCTCAGCATTAGTTATTATTTATCATGGTTTTAAAAAGTAAACATTCTACAATAACATATTGATTTAAAAAATTATGGTATTCTACTGTGCATATATACCAACATAGTAACATAAAAAAATTATCCTGTAGAAAATTTAACTACACAAAGCTATCAGTGCAAATTGTAAGTTATAAGTGAGTTTGTACATTATGACCTCATATGCATTTTTATCTAAACAAGAAAAAGGACAAAAACCAACATGCCAACAATGTTCCTATTGCCGAGTATTAAAATCATAGCTGTTGTTTAATCTTGTTCATTTTGCTTATACATGGTTTAACATTTTTTTTTACTTGAAGCATGTTAATCTTATAAGAAAAAGGCATTATTGAAATCTTTAAATAAAAACCTTTATAAGCCTATGAGGTAGTTACCTAATTTTACAGCTACTCAATAAAAACGTCCTGTTTATTCACTGTAGTCCAGGTGATGGTCTCTGGACTGATACTAGTTACTTGTAGACACTTGTCCCTCATCAGATTGTATATATATTTTTAGGGCAAAGGTTATTCCCCATTTTCCACTTTCTTGCACCGTGCTTTGCAGAGCTAACATGTAACAGCTGTAAGCCTCTCCTCTTGACCAGCTGAGCTTTTTGGTCATCTGCGTAGCCTAAGGAAGCAGCAGAATAAAGTCTGCCTGGGAGATTCGTTTTTGTTTCAGGGACCTTTGAAATTAAATGACTAATATATAAATATCTTCTGAGGACAAATTTTTGCCTTAAGTTAATGCAACTATCATAGTGCTGAACCACGAACCTAACCGAAACCCATCCCAATTATTTTCTAAAGAGGAGAATGAGGTAGGTAATTAAAACACAAAGGTGATGGTGGTGGGCAGGGGGACCCTGAACACCCTTCTCCAATTGTCCCTGTCTCAACACATCTTTAGCACAAACAGTTAAGCAGCAGCCAAATGACAAGCTCTGTGTCATCAACCCTTTCACCACTTCCTAGAACAAGGGTCAGCAAACATTTTTGTAATGAGCCGAAGACTAAAGATTCTAGGCTCTCTGGGCTAGGAGCAAAAATGGTGCAACTGTTCTTGCCAAAGGCTACTGTCCCTGCCCAACCATTTTACATTGATACCTAAAAATGTGAAAAAACCATTCTCCAATTTGGGGTTGCACAAAAACAGGTGGCAGGCCAGACTTTGACCTTGAGTCATAATTTGCTGATCCCTGATCTTAAAGATGTTCATTAAAACCACAAAAGAACTAACATGCAAGTGAGCCTATGAGTTCCTTGGCCAAAAATGGGGTGGAGGATATTGTAACAAAGAATTGAGTGCTGTAATTATTGAATGGATTGTTCAATACTTCTGCATCTGAATCAGTGGTCTGAAACTTCATCACCCTGATGCAGAATGATGATACTTGAACACAAAAGCACAGTTCAGAAGAGGGCCTCAAGGAAGCTGAGTGGCTAACTTTTCTGAAGCAGCCACATTATTCCAGCTCCATGGGTTAAAAAATCAACCTGTTTCTAATCAATAGTGTGAAAATGAGCAACTCTGAGCAGTTTTATTGCTAATTCTACATTCATGAGTTCTACCTTTGCTTCTAGGTAGGCCTCTTTATCTTCAATTTGTTAAACCCCATTTCCTCTCTTTGCCTTACTTTTGATTCAGTGCAATAGAGAAAACTTACAGAAATGTCATGCATGCTGAAACCAGGGTGGTTTAAAAAAAAAAAAAAAACTCCACTGTGTTCATTTTGGGGCTGTGAAACATGTATTAGCAGGGGCTCGGGGGCTCTGTGCTCTTGAGCAATCTAGTTTCTTTAGGTGCAAAGTATTACCTGGAAGAAGGTGTGCAGAGTGCCTAGCAGTTTCTGGAAGAGTTGTAGCTTAATAAAAAGTTAGTTCTCTTATATTTTCAGTGAAAGCTCAGTACTCATCCAGATCACTCTGAGATCACTCATTTCTGAAAACAAAAGTTTGCCCAACCTAATGGCCATGTCTGAATGACAAACAGGCAAAATTGGGTCAGCCTAGATTATTGAATCAGGTGGAAGTGAACCCACCTATGGTAGATGCAAAAACTGGCAGAGGTGCTCAGTTCGAGGAACTCATGGTCAATTAGGACAGAAAAAATTGGGGGTCTTTTTTTTGCTGCCAAAATTTTAGCTCACTTGTAATTACAAGAGAACACTTCAAGTCCCCAGGCAATTTAATTTGGTTCTGGAGGTCTCCCTTTAGCTACTGGTCAGAAAAGTTGTGCCCTCAAAGTTTGCAACAGAGAAGGAAAGATGTGAGGAGGGAGGGAGCAGAAGAGGGCACAGATGTCTCAGAATTCTTTTCCATGGGAAATCAGCATTTCCAGAAAGAGAGATTTCCTTTGGCCCTTAGATTTGACACTGTGCCAGTGAAGATGAACATCTGAGAAAATCAGATCAAAGACAAAAGACAGCAAACTCTCCATTCATCTTCAGATGGTCAGCAATAAAGGCAAAGGTACCAGCAAGTGGAGTAATCTAAATGTCCAAGCAGAATGAAACTCCTGGAGCAAAGGGATCACATATTCCTTTTCCCTAGGGACCACATGACAGGAACTGCACCTGTGCTTACAGAACAAATACTGAATGCAAAATTGTAAAGAGGGAAACTGCAGATCTCTCACGTGAATGTGAATTCTACCTGCGCTCTGGGATGCAACGTGGAATATCAAAATACATATAACATGCTTCCTGAAGACTTGGAACTAACAGACTGTGCTGGTGGCTCCCCATGCTTTTCAAGGTCAGAACATTGCAGTGGTCATTCTATGTGAATTTTTTCATTTACAGAGAATGACTGGGGAGCATGTGCAGTGCCCAATGCAAGAAGGTGTGTGAGCCTCTCAGCATCTCCCAGGAGCTTTACAAGGAAGCACCTAGAGCACTGAATAGGAAACTTGGGGGTGGGGCAGTAGGAAACAGGAAGTAGGCATATTCTTAAAATGCATCCTGAACTCTACTTCTTGCCCAAAACAAATGCTCTAAGTCTTTTTGCTCAACCTTCAGAGAAGCCAGTGAGATGGTCAGTGATACTGGAGAGGAGGCACAGCTCCTCCTGAGGAACCTGGGTGAGGTGGATGTACAAGTTGTAGAATTCCTATGCAACGGTTGCATTTTCATTATGTCCATGATCTTACAGGCAGATACATCACCTCCCATGGCAATGTCGGAATCCAGCATCACAAAGGATGCATTCAATATGTATTTTTTAAAATCCATCTAAATACTTCTTTAAAAAGATAACTCCAAACTTACCTGGTAAAAAGAATTTACAATGACAGATGTTCCATAGAATATGAAAATATATATTCACATATACACACACACACACACACATATATACACACACACTATATATACTACACACACATACACACACACACACACACACACACATAGATATTTGGTATTGGGTACTAAATTCAGGGGTGCTTAACTACATCCCCAGTCTTTTTTGTCTTTTATTTGGAGACAGGTATAAGTTTCCCAGGCTGGCCTTGAACTTGTGATCCTTCTTCCTCAGCCTCCTGAGTCACTGGGATCAAGGGCATGCACCACCACACTTCGCTCATAGGATATTTTTTCCATGATGATATTTTAAACAAAATACACAAAATAGAAGATTAATTATCATATACTAATTGGCCTTGAGGAAGTTACTTAACTTGCCTGGAACTCAGCTTCCTTGACTGTAAAAGATGCAAATACTAATGTTAACTATACTGTAGGGTAGTTTAGAAAACTGAGCGAGGCAATGCACATGAAGGGGGGTTGGCACAGAGTAAATGTGGTGTGAGTTGCTATTATTGAGTTTTCTTTTTTTTTGGTGCTGGAAAGCAAAATCAGGACCTCTTGCATGCTAAGCTCACATTCTACTACTGAGTATAGTGGAACATTTTTGATTTATCCTTGACCAGATGTAATTTGCTCAAATGGCAATCCTGGGAGATGGGATTAAAATTTAGCAGGAACTCAGTTTTTCCAACCCAATCTTGAGCTCTTCAAAGGCCTGTGTATGACAACCCAATATCTATGCTCCGGGGGAGATAAGGAAAGAGCTATAATAATTGGCTGGGCTATTTCTCCTTTGGAGAAATGGCCTAGTCGTTTAGAAATTTGCTCTGTCCCATAAATGTGAATGATGAAACTGATAATCTTTCAGCTTCTCTCCAGAGAGAGGCCTGGGCTCCTGAGTCAGATCTGCCCACCTGATGAGGATTCCAGTCGCTGTCAAAGATGACCACCGTATCAGCTGCCTGAAGATTTAAGCCCAGGCCTCCAGCGCGTGTGCTCAGCAAGAAAATGAAATACTGGGACCCAGGTTCATTGAATTTCTTCAGCAAAGCAGCACGATCTTCAGACTTGGTGGTGCCTGAGGGGATAAGAAAAATAAATTTTCCAATTAACTCCTGTCTGAAAATGGCAGAGAACTAGACAAAAAGGCCTGCTTCCTTGAGACATTTATCCAGACTTCTACAAGTTGGTGAGGTAATCACCAGGGTTTTTATACTTTTGAAAGGAACTCTGAATATTTCGCAATTAAAAAAATAAAAAAGGAAAGATTGTTTAAACATTTCTGACTGGGCACCCTTGCAGCTTAACAAATTCTACAACATTCTTACTCTAATCTAAGACTTAATGGAAACATTTCCTGGATTTATTTCTGGGTTGTAAAATACCAAATAATAATAATAGAAAAACCCACCCACAAACACACATGTGCCTAAAATGGTTATTACAATGGCTTAAAGCAACTTTGCTCACAGGCATTAAAGCAAGGACACTTAGTTATGCCAAGAGAATAAAAACAAAAGGAAAGTTGATTTCTACTACTTTGCTGTTTAGCTCGATATTAGGTATGCTATGGGAAAGACATAAAATATGAATGAAATGTTTGTTATCTGAAGCCACAATAACATTTATATTTTTAAAAATGTAAGCCCTAGTCTGTATTTCGGGTTAACATTCTGCTCTATTAGGTTTAAAGGATGCCACGCTAAAACCAATCAAACATGGTACACCCTTGCGGTGGTTCACACCATGGAGTGTGGATAGTGAATGAGCAGAGAACCCCAATCTCAGGATGTGGAGCTCACTTCAGGGCACATTTGTGTTCCAAAGTGGCCAGTCATTCACATACTATCCATTTGTAATGTATTTATCCAGCCTTTTCATGACATACATTGTGGAAGGGAAAATGAAAACAAAAATACAAAGCAACCAGCACCCCATCTGAATGCATTTCACCAGGGAGTGCAGAGGCTGGGTTCTGAAAGGGGCTTTAGACTGATAGGAAATACATATGCATGTTATATGTTATATGATACTCGCTGACTGGCTGCTATACAAATATTATTTCTACATGTTGTTCTTTTTTTTAAGGGTGAAAACATACCAGCAATTTATTTTGCAGGTTTAAAACATTTAAGTGACTAGCTAAAGGAATCAAGTTACTTATGAGGGTCAAGTTCCCAAATGTGGGGGATCTGTTTTTCACATCCAGTAAAAATAATAAGTACCCTCCTGAGAAGGGAAGAAAATCAATTCCCCACACACAGCAAATGGGGATTAGAAAGAAGGAGTTTGAGGTTGCTCCCCATTTAATGAAGCAAAGTTCTTTAGACTCAGTGTACTTCCTAAATTAGATCTCTTGTTTGGTGAAGCTGGTCAAATCCTCCAGGATGAATGGTAGGAATTTAGATTTGGGGGAGGAGCATTAACCTGCTCTGCTGAGTGAGGTTTTGAACATGTGGAACCCTTTTATTTTCAGAATTGGCTGTCTGAGACCATGGGAACCATTTGTTCATGATGCTGGAGGAAGACATGTTCTGTTTTGCCGTGCAAGCTTCTCTCTAAGGCCTTTCCAGTTACAATAATTTTTTAATTACATGGATTAATGATTCCCATATTTACTCTCGGCCTTAAACTGAAGAAAAAGCCAAAGAAACCAAAAGTAAAAAAAGGGGAAAGAATGGGGCTCCCAGAGGTAATGACATCTGTTTTCTGACAGCAGGATATAAAAACTGTGCATCTATCTACTCTGAGGGTAGAAGTTCAACAGTTTTAATCAACTGAAAAATATCTGTTAATGTATTAACCCATTATGTCCCATCATCCTATTTATGGAACACTTAAAAAACTTAAATTGAGCAACAAATATCACTTATGGTAACTCTAAAATAAATATTTGTTTTTAGAGTCATAGTGTTTTGAGGAAAGTAATAAGTGAATAGTGATAATATGCATTAATGATATATTATTAATGATAATAAATCACACCATAAGTTCTAGATTATGATTTCTAATCTATTTTAATGAAGCTGTGTCAATCTCATTGAGATATTTGCAGAATATAAACTTGGGACCTAGTAAGTTAAGAAGATATAAATAAAACTAATTGGGGAATAGGCCTACTTGGGACAAAATGATTTTTTAAATGCAAAACAAAGCATTGAAAAACAAAAAGAGTGTCAAAATTACTTAGTCATGGAGTTCTCAGGCTCTATGCCAGATACCTCAGGCAAACAGATTCACTATATATCTGGTGTGTATTTAAACTGTGTAAATAGCTGGAAACTTGACAAGCTATAAAAACAAACAAGAAAAGATTCAAACGCTTTTTATGCAAAGCTATAGCATTTCTTATTATAAGGTTCAGAATCAGGTGGGCTTTGTCACTGAGTCACATTCTTGGTCTTGTTTTTTTTCTTTTTTCAGACAGGGTCTCACTAAATTGCTGAGGATGGCCTCAAACTTTTGATCCTCCTGCCTCAACCTTCCAAGTAGCTGGGATCATAGGTGTGCACCACTGTGTCCTGCTAGATTTTCATTTCTATTAAAGATCCTCAAGTCAAGATCTTTACTGATCATCTGCAATCTTTTCAATATTGTTCAGAAAGATTCAAAGGCAAATGCTCCTTGCAGGTGCACAGAATTTACCCTGCTCAGCACTAGCATCAGTTTCATGGTCTTTTAGACTGATGTAGAACATATCCAATTATAAGAATATGATTAATAGCAAGGGCAACTGTTTAGAAAATTACGGAATTTGCCAGAAGGAACACACTAAGAGACTTTCATGATTACTAATTTTAACTGAGTTTCAGCTGCTCTTGGAAAATTTCATCTTCTGAGATAAAACTGTATCACTACCTCTCACTCAAAAATCATTTCCAATGAAAACAAAAACAGGAACGAAATAGTAGCTAAGCCTATTCATACAACCATAATCTTTGCAGAAAATCCTTGCTGAGCTGTCAACAAGTGATTTTTTTTTTCCTGAAGTCACAATCTGAGATATCAAATTCAGCAAAGAAAATCTGAAGACATTTTACTAATTGGTGATGGAGTATGTATGTGGGTGTGTGCAGTTGGAAGGGTGTATAATAATTTATCTGTGTGTACTGATTGATTCTCCAACAACCCTCTGCTCCCAAAATGAATGGCTGCTGTTTCTAGTAGAAGAAGCCTGTGTAGCCGTCTCCATCCATCTGTAGCACTATGCAACTTACTTGTCTCTTTCAACTCAATGAATGATAAGAGCTCTGATGTCTGAACAGCAAGTGGCTCATTTATCTTGTGTCTCCAATTCCTAGTCATTTTCAATTAGTCCAATTAATAATTTTAAACAAGTTCATAATCATTCTTAAAATGCTATCAATTCGGTAAGCCAATACTATTTCCAAGGTGGGGTTTATCTACTGGGAATGCTAAAACTGAGCTCATTTGGAATCAGAAAGATGCAAGTTAAACCCTGTTTTCACCATCTGACCTTTGTTTTCTCATCTGTTAAATGGGAATCATAAGAATAGTGATAAATAAGGATCCACTACTCATTGTAGAGAAAATAAATGATGAAGAAAAATCAATCAATGAAGCAGAGCATGCATCTGCTATTACCTAGGTGTCATCGATGCTCCATAAACATCAGCTGTCAGGACAGTTATTACTAACAACAACAAGGACTGCAACCAATAGACTATCAGAATTTTTCACACTGGCAAGAAAACATTAGAATGAATTGTTTCAAGGAAATCACTTCTTACCAGTTTGATAGATTCAGTTATTCCCAGGTTGCTGGCCTCTGAGAGGTGAGGTTCGAATGGAGGGCCACAAGTAGCAAACATATTTATATAGGACATCTGGCTATAAATCCAGGGGGACATCAAACCCTCCCCTGAGCACAGCGAAAGGTGGAAAGAAAGAGTGCCACACTTTGCCACACTGGGACAGAGGCCGGTGGGGAGCAACCAGTCAAAGAGAAAACAATCAGGAGTCTTGCCAAAAGAGACAGACTGTGGATGATACGTCTGAATCTATAAATTCAAAATTAATGTTTACTTAACCATCCGTCAGCTTTCAGTGACTTTGGAGGGGAGAGGTAAAAGGGCTTTTAAATCATCAAGTCTGCCAGATGGTTAGATTAGTAATACTCCAAAAGGTAGGCCAGACAGAGAATTCACCTAAAAACTCAAATGAGAAAATGTATGAGAAGTTTCAGTTTGGTATATTTCCAATTATATTTAATTAATGGCAAAAGGGAGACAAAATATTGGATTGAAAATCAAATAAAACCTTCTAATCAAATAGAAACTTTAAATTTCCTGTTCACTTAACAATAACATTAATACTGCATTTGATTAAAAAAAAAACAGGTATTAGCAGTTCTGTGATCTTTGTACCCAGGGATTAAACGAATCCTGGCTGTAAATTAGCTCTGTTTCCTCCTCACCACTCTTTGAACACATTCTCACCTGCCACAGTATGAAAACTGTAACATCTTTAATCTCTAAAATGTTATAGCCAGTATTAAATTCATAAAAGTAACTTAGGGAACATTACCAATTTCATCTTTTCTTCCCATTCATATTTGCTAACTAATGTTTATGATGTGGTATTTCAATTTTACTTTTGAAATCAGACTAAATGCTGATTTCGTCTGCAAAATGCAGGGAACAATGAAGTCAAATCTCCTAACAATGTGACACGTAGGTATGTTCTCTTGAGAAAAAGAGAATTTACTGATAGATATAACTGGAGATGAACATTATACTGCTATACTAGAGAAAGGAGACATAGCTTTTATTCCCTTAAAATATATCTTCTCAGGAAAAGGTAAAGGATTTTCAGCATTTTCAACATGATGCATAAGCAACATTTGATCCTAAGAGCAAGGAAAATTTTTAAAATTTAGTGTAACTGTAATACTCATAAGTGACTCTGAATTCATTTGTGTTGGCTTGAATGTAGAACAACTGCACAATGATGTAAGCTTATTGAAAGGTAGAGAATGTAAAAACTGCTACCTAGAAAACTTGTACCTGGGCTCAGGATATAGCCTACCATGTGCAAGGACATGGGTTCAATCCCAGTATCATAAAAAATAAACAAACAAACAAAAAAAAAAGACAAACTTTGATTCTCCTCCTGCGTTTTGACCAAGGCTGGACCTAAGTGCCTCCTCCCTTCATTTTCAGAAAGCAGGGATGCTGAGTCTCCTGCCTCACACACTCACCATCAAGACGCAGGTAAAGGAAGTTCCGAAAAGCAAAGTAATCCTCCATGATGGTCATGAGGGACGTCATCTGGCAGAAAAGCAGCACGCGGTGATTAGTCGCTCTCAATTTGGGCAGAATACGATCAAGTAGCTCAAACTTTCCTGAGGCCCGATACAGTTCAGCCCTGAACCCAAAAATGCAAAACAAGAAGACCGTATTACTGCTGTCTTCTTGAAGGATCGAGTAGCTTTTTGCTGTTCTCCCAGTGTCTTGTATGTAATAAACATTCAGTAAGGAAATGTGGAACCAATGAATGAATACCAGCTCTAAAACAAAGTACTCAGTGGAGAAAGAAAGTATACTATTCATAGGAAACCCATAAAGGGTACATTGTACCTGCTAAGTATGACGGTAGATTCTAGAAAGAAAAGGAAACCCTTTCATGTTCCTAGCCTTTTCACTTTCTCCCTCTAAATTCTAAGTCTTTATGTATTACATGCATAAAAAGGTTAATTTAGGGCACTCAGTGATCAATTCAAATACTTATTGAGTACCTAGTATGTAACAAGCACAATGTTGGGCATGGGTACAGAGATAAACAAAATGGGTGATTATTAACTATGATTAGTCCAATGAAGAAAAGTAGTGGGTCATGATAAGAGGGCTCATCCCAATGTTTGACTCCTTCTTCAGATTAGAGAAGAGTTTGGCAGACCTGGGTGGGCCCTAGCCTGCTGCCTCTTTTTATAAAGTTTTATCAGAACACACAGCCACGCTCACTCATTTATTTTGTCTGGTTGCTTTCGTGCTACACTGGCTGAGCTGAGTAAGGGTGACAGAGACTTCATAGCCCACAAAGCTGGAAATCTTTTCAATCTGATCCTTTACAGAAAAGTCTGCAAATCACTGTGACCTCCCTGAGGAGAGAACATTTTAGCTGAAAGTTGAATGATGGTAAAAGGCATGCAGGTGACCAATGGGGGCCGGAGGCTTAGAGGAGGAGATTCCAGGGAGAGGTGAGACACATGTAAAGGCCCTAAGCAGAAAAGCAGCCGGAGAAACTGGAAAAAGTAATGGTGAGTAAAACCTAAGTGAGGGGAAAGTGCTGAGACAGTACAAAGAAGGGAGGTGGGTACAGGGACTGGCCACGGGGCTCTGCGCACTCCACCGATGTGCTTTAAACAGGGGAGTGAGGTTGGTCTAACTTTTGGTCAGTTTGGTCTTTTTGCAAGATCATTATGGACACTGCATAAGAGTGGCTTGGGAAAGGGACAGGAGTGCTGGCTCGCTGCTGCAGAGCAAGTAAAAAATATGAAGGGACAGTGACAAGGAGGTTGCCATGATATGGAGAAAAGCTAAAGTAGGGCCTTTTTGCTCCATAGTAAACAACTTTTTTTTTTTTAAGCAACAGGGCTGTATTATATGCTATTACAACTTAATTTTAGGGTTAATACTGCTTGGAAAGCTCCAGTGCACATGCAGTCTACAATACTATTACTGGATATTCTGCCTTTTGTTTTGTTTTTTTTTTTAATTTATTTAATTTATTTACTTTTTTGGTTCTTTTTAGTTCTACAACACAGTAGAGGATAATATGATGTATTTATACAAACATGAAATACATCTTATTCTAATTAGGATCCCCAGGCCCTTAGTATGCTACTTTTAATAGTCATATTTTCAAACCTATGTCTTTCTGCTTTCATTCCTCAAAGACCACTGCCCCTCAGAGCCGCACACCCTTAGCCGTGTTTCCACCCTGCAACCCTGTCCAAGCTGCAGGAGTGGAAGTGGCCACAACTTCCAGGGGAAAGCGGCAAGGACAGGCAGGAGACCCCAGTGTTGTCACTCTGCTTGGGTTTCAGTTCCAAATTCTCCCAGTGGCCCTGTCTGTTCTTGGAATCCAGCAAGGACCCCTCTATCCTAAAACATCACCTCTGGAGCAAACCCAACAAAACAGGCTGTCCATTAATGAAATCTTCATCTGTCTGTCGCTGCAAGGATGATTCCCTTCAATGTCCACTGCTAATGAAAAATCTCTTATACAGACCATTCTGGAGTGAATGACTGCAAAATCGTACACATTTATAGCAGATGAGACATTTCCTTTCATGCACATGAATGTTAAATATCAACGTGAAATTTAATAAGATAAATTTTCTTCCAAGCCCAAGCCACACTTTCAGTTAGAAGTGACAACCCTTGGAGGCTCCAGCAACGTTTTAGAACACTAGGAGACTATTAAGTCTATTAAATGAGATCTATGTCCTTAGAATAACCACTTGCTCAAGGCAAGTAGTAATTTATGCCAGTAAAGTAAAAGAGAATGCTGATATCATTTTGGTTAACAACTTCTGCCCCTCCACGGTGGAGCAAGGAGGACCAAGGACACTGGTAGTATGTATTTGCATAATAGGAAAAAAAATACTATAGAAAATGGTAGTGTAAGTAGAACCAATAACACTATATTTTCAAAGAAAAAAAATGTAAGATTTACCCATTGATGACCCCATTTGAATAGCCCAGGTGTTCAGCAAAGGATTCCTTTAAAAGAGAGAAAAGAAGAAAATGACTTTAAAATCTAAATATATTATTGTTGTTGTTGTTGTTGTTGTTGTTGTTATTATTATTATTATTATTATTATTATTATTATTTTGCAGTGCAAGGGATCAAACCCAGGCCTCACATGTGCTAGGCAAGTGCTGTTCCATGGAACTAATATTATTGACCTAATGGTTTCTCTTTTAATGAGTACGCCCTATGGACTCTTATAGTCAAAGGCAACAAAATAATCAATGAACAAGAAAATACTCAGTGTAGGCTGAACTGGAAACTCAGTGTCTTTGAGGTCAGGTTTTCGTTCTGCTCTAAGTGGACTCCCAGAGGAGAACGTGAGCTCGCCAATGCAACAGGCACTGAGCATCAACCAGCCCAGCACAGAGCAGGCATTTGTTTCTGGGGACCCACCCACAAGGAGCTCAGATCAGAGTCTAGGTTGGAGGAAGAGCACAACACAAGCAAGTCAGGATTAATAGGGAAACATAAATGTAATGTGAAAACAGTTACCAATAAAAATAATGGCTATTATGTAATGCAGTTCTTAACTGAGTGAAATCCTAACATCTCTCCCATCCAGTGCTTTTGTTTTTACAGTGAAGGCCCTAAATGTACTCTAGCCTCAGTGTTCAGCTTCCACTTTTAGAAGACAGAACTTAGTTACTGAACTCCCTCCAGATTCAGAGGAAGAAATATTTGACTCTGCTCTGGGCTCTCTCCATTCCTGCTTTATGGAAACAGAGACCATCTAGGGGTAAATACATCACACCTCTACATTAGCCACCAGCTTTTCCTCCAAGGGGAACATATCTTTCCCTTTGGTTTCTAGTCTCAAATATGCTCATTATTCCTGGCAGGCTCCAGCCACTCAGGGCCCTGTGGCAAAGCCAACACAGATGACACACTTCCACTTCCAGATCTGGCCACTCCTTTCTAGATTCTTAGGCTCCATCCCTGTCTAGCAGCTTGGGAAAACCAAAGAGATGGTATGTGTCCGTGGACCATGATAAGGTTGGGTAATCCGTATCTTTTTAAAAATACTGCTTTCATATCTCCATTTCAAAGTTTCCCAGAGAGGCAGTGAGACCAATCTCGAGACCGGGCTTCTGAAATAATGTGGCATCAACAAAGGACTGTGTGGAAACAAAACAAAAGCAAATGCACAGGATACTTCAGACCCATAACTGCCAATAGATCAGCCAATGACTGTGGGTCTCTTATTTCTAAAAATCAGCTCTTCAAAGTTGTTTTTTTTTTTTTATGTTAAAAACACTGCAAGTCAAAATCTGTTTACTGACAGCTACTTATAAACAGGCAGGCACTGGGGCTCATTGCTCCAAGCTCGGTCTCCTTTATGACCCTTCGTCCTTCCCAATACTCCAGACAGAAGCTTGAAGACAGAAGAAGTCATCTGCCTTCCTTCCCCACATGGCCCAGCACATTTTGAAGGTTAATTTTTTTATGGTAACTGAAATGAAGTAAGACACTTAATTTTCATAATTTCTAAGTCCCCAAAGCCCTCTATAGATCAGAGTAAATGCCTTAAAATTGTTCTCAGGAAAAAATGGGACAGTAGGTGACAGGTCAACCTGACACGACACTCATCATTTTCATCATTAAGACTTTCCCCACACCCCCCAACCCCATATCTACCCAGCACTAATTCACTGACACCTTATGCCTGATTAACACATTAGTTTCCAAGATGCTTCCTGTTTTCTCACTTAAAAGTTCACCTATCTGCTGGCTCTACAATCTATTGTTCCCCTCTTATTACAAATCAAGCAGGCTTGAGTGACTTTCTCTACCAAGTTACAGGGACACAGTGGCCTGAGACATGAACTCACTAATGCCTACTGAATTCTCCTTCATCTATATATCTAAAAATGTGGCTGGTTGGTAAGATTGTTTTTAAAACTGTTATTGCCATATCATACATTTGAATCAAATGTATTATATGTCAAGGTCATTTTACTGTCATGTGTAACTAATTAAAACAAATAAAAATAAAATAAAATGTTAACCATGCCTAAAAAATAAAAAAAAAACCTGTTATTGCCATTGTCACTTCCCTTCAATCTATAAATATGCCCCCTCCCTATGTTAGAGTCTGGTCTCAACTGTGCTGGGTAATCCTCTATGAATCTAAGTGCTCCACAAGAATCCTATGTCCAAGATTCTCTCCCCTGTGTCCACGGAAGCCTCCCTATCCAAGGACACTCTCCTCTATGTGTGGGTCCTCTTCCTTATGTCTATGGATCCTCTCTCGTAATCTCAGACACTCTCTCCTAAGGACTTGAAGGACACAGCAGGTGAGAAGTTCTCCTAATTTCCCTGCACAGTTGAGATAGGACTCTAGCACAGGGAGGGGTAGGGAATAAATACTCTGACCTATCAGGTGTGATTGCCAAAAATAAAGGAGTGAAAAAGAATATTCAAATTTAAAAGTATTCCAACACTTTTTAAAAATCCTGTGATTAAGTTTTAATTTTCTAGAAGCTTTTATTTATTGTTTTTAAATGAACCGGTGTAGACACTGGAGTCCTGAAGTGATTTTCCTCTCTCTTGCCCAATTTGCAGTGGAAACTAGGCCCTAGACTGGCAAACAATGCCCCCAGGAGCATGTGATTCCTCAGCAACACTAAAAAAATGGATATGGCAATGGCAGCTCCTCTTCTGCTACAGCCAATTGTCCCTGCTAGAGTGAAACACTACCAGTGTTGGAAGCATGTTCACATGTAGAGAAGAGGGCAGACAATGTCCTCTCCCCTAAAAACAGCTGAACATCAGAATAAAAGCATCAATTTACATCATCATCACAGTAGAAAGAAGACAGAAAAAATATCAATCTAAGTAACAAACTACAGCCAGTTTCTTTCACAAAGAAAATATTGAAAGAACACCTTTATCTTTAATATTTACAAATACATCATTTGAATATTTTTGACGACATCCTTTGGAAGAAACTAGATGTGGCTGTCATTAATTTCAGAGCTCCCACTGGAACACAGCAATTCACTCGAACCCACACCTGAGCCATTGCTTACACCACTCCTCGATACTTTAAACTCTTGGTTATAAAATTCCAGATGCTCAGGTGCCAATGAGAATCCATAACCAGGAAATTCACATTTATTAATTCTGCCTGAAGAACTATTAGATCATCCCCTTTTGAATTCTATACATAGATTCTTTAGACTTTTTTTTTTTTTATCTCCAGGTCTTTTTAAAATTTTACTTTGAGACGGGGTCTTATGAAGTTACCCAGGCTGGCCTCCAACTAGCCATTCTTCTGCCTCAGGCTCCTCAACAGCTGGGATTGTAAGCATGCACCGCCACATCTGGCTTGATTTTATTTTTTTAACTAGCACTAGTAGGATTAGCACAAACAGAATCAAAACACAGGACTCAAACTTACCTCAATGTGCTGAAACATATATGGGTGATTGCAGATTTTTCTCAACTGCATGATAGTGTTCATAAGTGTCTTTGCACCTCCTTTCCCCTGAGAACAAATGGAAAGAGAAGAATAGAACTAATTATTAATTGATCAGATGTTTCCAATTTTTAGAAGCTAGGCTTCAGGGTTAGGAGTGTAAGTCAGTGGTAGAGCACTTGCCTAGAATGTGTCAAAATCCCAGGTTAGGTCCAAAATCTCTCTCTCTCTCTCTCTCTCTCACACACACACACACACACACACACACACACACACACACCAAAACAATAAAAGCTAGGTAGGCTTCTTATAGAAAGGAAAAAAAGACCATAGGTCTTCTCAATAACATACACACCTTGCGATCCACAGTTCCTGTTGTTACATGGCTGCTTCTGAGTTAGATATAATGTCTATCTTATGATTAGCTTATCCTATAGGCAAAGTATATCTTAAAGTATTACATTAAGTTAATGGCTGAATGACTATCTACTCTCTAGGATTTTGGAAGTCAGAGCACAGAACAGATGCCCAGGGAGTAAATCTGGATTTCAAAACCTTTTCAGATGCCACCCAACACTGAGACAGAAGGTGTTTTCTGCAGAATTGACATGAGTAGAGATAACTCTTTTGGTAACAAGAACATATTCCTTTCTTCCTGCCCCAACATAGTTTAGGGGTTAGAAGATTTCTCTTGGCAGCAACAATAGCTACAAAAAATGCCCAGTAATTTTTTTTAACAAATCAGCATGAGCAGAGATGCTTCTCAGAAATACTCCACAGCCATGAGAAGACACTGCCCAGCACCTCAAGCTATGCCAGCTTCCTTCCTCAACATACCTTCTTATCTTTCTCAGAACCATCTGTGAGGAGGATCCCCTTCGCTTGCATGTGGCGATACAGAATCTTCTGCAGAGCTGACATGTCACACTTGATCACATATTCAACCTGAATAAAGAAGAGCAAGCAGGTAATAGGAATAGGGAGAAGGTGCCATTCTAAGATGATTGTTGAGACCAGATCTGGTGCCACTCCTAAAGCACCAGGACACCTTTCCCCCCCCCTTCTTGGATTCACAGGGTAGGGCTGGGATGGGGTACTGGAGGAGACCATGGTCCTCACTATTAAAGGTACCAATATGATAGTGAGAACCCTGAAAGGTTATATATAGCAGAAGCTAGGCTGTTTTCTAAACTGTCTGGACTTAGTTTCATATCTGAGAGAGGGAATGGCTTGCCAACCGTTCATACTCAAATTTTTTCAATATATGGTATCTCTAGTATTTCTTCTGCCTCCTAACCACACCTCCTTTCATATGAACAATTTAGGAAAAACAGCGGCTAACCAACAGCCTCTGGTTTTCTTTGTAAAACATTTTAATTTGGTCCTATATGGCTATCCCTAATGCTAGCCTTAAATAAGCTGAGATTTCACAGCAGGCCCAGGTTGACTGTCACTAACCACTACTCTTGAGAAATGAAAGGACGCAACATAGGTGGAGGAGAAGAATTAATAGACAATTGGTCACAACTCTATGGCCATCAAAAGGCCATTTCCTGTTGAAACAGGACAAAATCCAATTTAAAACAGTTAAAGGAAATTCATATGTCCATGTTTTATCACACACCTGTATTACTTTATCATGCTCCTAATGAATAAAATCTGCCTTGCTTATTTCCTATTATTATTTTTCTTTATTAAAAAATTCCCAAGAATACAAATGTGCAATTTTCATAAAAAAAGTCAGATTAATGCCTAGAAATCTGCAGAATGTGATTAAAAGTAATCAGCAAGCTGCCTAATGTTTAATAAACCGATTAAAAATGATTGGAGTATTTTCAGCTCTGAGGGCCAGAAAGAAGAGGTCACAAATGAAGAGAAGTAGAATATATTCATTTCACTGTTGCTTCAGAAGGAACCTGTCAGACTGGGGGGACCAGGGTTGATAGTCTTATGCTTCTCACTTTGATGCATCAAGTCAGGTTATAGAAAGGCTTGCTGTTTTGCATAACAGTTAAGAAAAGCAAATAAAATACTCCAAACATGCTTGGTCAGGGAAAAAAACCCAAATCCCCAAGTTTAATAAATAAGTGTGAACTTAATACAGGCTTTGTGTTTTACATACTTGATCACGCTATATGCTTAAGTATCTCAGCATCTCTCTTTTTTCTTTTTAAATATATTTTTTCAGTCTTGTTGAATGATAACTGACAAATAAAAACTGTATATATTTAAGGTGCACAGTGTGATGTTTTGATATACATATACATCGTGAAATGATTACCACTAACCTACTTTTTCCAGAGTTCTTGATCACTATGAAATTTGATCTTGGTGAAAAAAAAACTGTTAAAAAAATTCAGACTTTAACAAGGACAAAGATATAAATGACATGAAGGGCCAATATTATGGAGCTCTTTCTATGTGCCAGGTCCTGTGAAAAATGCTTCATGTGCCTTTTCTCACTGAAGTCATAATAAGAGCCACGCCTGATGGTGCATACTTATAATCCCTGTGGCTTCGGAGGCCGAGGCAAGAGGATCACAAGTTCAAAACCAGCCTCAGCAACTTAGTGAGTCCCTAAGCAACTTAGCAAGACCCTGTCTCAAAATAAAATATTAAAAGGGCCAGGGATGTGGCTCAGTGGTTAAGTACCCCTGAGTTCAACTCCAGGTACCACCTCCCCCCCAAAAAAAATACAAGAGCTCTATGGTATAATCACCTTTAGTGTACTTTTTATAGCCAGGAAATATGAGCATCACAGAGGTTAAACTACAGGTCCAAAGTGATCCAGCTATTCAATGGTGCAGTTAGGATTTGAAACAGACATTGTTCTTTAAGCACTATACTATGGAAGACCAAGGAGATTTTCAGGCTTCCCAGCTCTGCCTGGTGTTCACTTTCCGCTAGGCCACTTGGAAGGCTTATTCACATCCTCCCGAATGTGGGGAGGATGCCAAATCCTGTTTCAAGGTACAGAGGGCTGAGGCATGGCATATCCAAAACTAGGGGATGAACTCTTAACCCATCAGTCAGCTACTGCTAAGGGCTAGAGGGTAAGAGCTTGGAAAGCAGCAGACTTGTGGGACTATGCTATGGACACAGGGATCCAAGTGTCCTGCAGGTAGTCCTGTCTGTGAGAACTGAACTCTTCCTTAGGATCTGATGGCTACTCTTGGAAGAGGAAAGTACCCAAGCCTCCTCCCTCATGTGATTAGAGGGTAACTGTTTGATACACATGATCAAATAATTAAGTTTCACAACTGCATTTTTCATTTGCTTCTGGAAACTTCCAAACAGCTCTGAACTTTTTTTTTTTTTTTTTTTTTTTTTTTACTTTTGTACTTTTCTCTAAGCCCAGGATGTCCTTGGCCTTGAAGCTTCTTTCTAAATTCTGTTGTACTTTGAGGGCTCTTTTTGAGATTTTCCCTAATCACCCTATCAGTCTATCACAAAATTAATTTTCCTCTTTAATTCTCTCAAAGAAGATGGTCATAAACTTATCTGATGACATTTTCTCATCATGAAGCCCATCTTTCCAACATGTTCTAAATATTTATTTATAAATTACATGCATGCATTAAGATTAATGTTTCAAAATATGATGAGTTACTTTTAGGGCAAGGAACAATGTTAGAGACAGCTGATTTATATCCATATTTCAAGATGCTAATTTGATGATACATAATATTCTTGAAAAATTCCTGCCTCATTACCCTACAATGCAGCTGATAAAAACTCACTCTAGGATTGACAAGGAACTCAAAAAACTTCACATATACCCCCCAAAAAATAACCCAATCAATAAATGAGTAAAGGAACTAAATAGGCACTTCATAGAAGAAGAAATACAACTGATCAACAAATATATGAAAAAAATATTCAACATCTCTAGCAATTAGAGAAATGCAAATTGAAACTACACTGAGATTCCCTCTCACTCCAGTCAGTATAGCAATTATCAAGAATACAAGTAAACAGCTCAGGAGGCTGAGGCATGAGGATAGAGAGTTCCAATCCAGCCTCAGCAAAAGCCAGGCGCCAAGCAACTCAGTGAGACCCTGTCTCTAAATAAAATACAGAATAGGGCTGGGGATATGGCTCAATGATTGATTATCCCTAAGTTCATTCCCTGGTAGCTCCCCCCCACACACACAAAAAAAAGAATACAAGTAACAATAAATATTGGTGAGGATATGGGAAAAAATTTCATTCATACATTGCTGGTAGGACTACAAACCACTTTGGAAAGCATGGAGATTCCTTAGAAAGCATGGAATGGAACCATCATTTGACCCAGTTATCCCATGCCTCAGCTTATACCTGAAGGACTTAAAATCCCCAAACTACAGTGATACAGCAGCATCAATGTTTATAGCAGCTCAATTCACAATTGCCAAGCTATAGAACCAATCTAGGTGTCCTTCAACAGATAAATGGATAAAGAAAATGTGGTATACATATACAATGGACTAGTACTCAGCCATAAAGAAGAATAAAATTATGGCATTTGCTAGTAAATGGATGAAACTGGAGAATATCGTACTAAGTAAATAAACCAGTCCCAAAAATCCAGAAGTCAAATTTTCTCTCTGACATGGATGCTAACCCATTACAAGGGAAGGTAGGGAGGGGAAGTACAGAAGTACATTGGATCAGACAAAAGGGAATGAAGGGAAGAGAGAGGAGATGGGAATAGGAAAGACAGTAGAAAGAATCAGACATTACTCCTCTATGTTTATATATGAATACATCACCTGTGAAACTCTATACCATGTACAACCACAAGAACAGGATCCTAATCCTAACTCCACATATGAATAATATATCAAAATGCACTCTCTACTGTCATGTGTATCTAAAAACAACAAACAAAAATATTAAAAAAAAAGAATCAGAGAAGAGACAGGATGATCTTCTTTCCATTGTTTACCTATATTTATATTATTTGATTTCAAACTTTATTCCTTTGTAGAATCTTTTTAAGCCCTCTGGGGTCTAGAGTAGTTAGTTTAGTGAAAAATCAGATAAGGGGTTGGGATGCAGTGGTATAGAGCTTGCCTAGCATGGAAAAGGCCCTGAGTTCAATGCCCAGCACTGCAAGAAAAAAAAACATCAGACCATATCAAATCTGCTGATCTGGATAAAATATATGGTTTCCACAATATGTAGAAAACGAATGCGCAGGCAGTAAGGATGAATGGGCAGTCAGGTGCTATACTGATGGAGATTCCTGCTGGGATAACCTAGGCAAGCTATCCTAGACATATCAGACCCTCTGATATACACACTCGGTATGGTGTCAATCTGAATATTAAATAACAATATAGCTTAATGTTTTTATTTTTTAAGAAAAAAATAAACGTGTGGAGTTTCTAACATCATTCTGCATCTGAAGGGATCACTAGTGTGCACCCTCCCTCACACACATCCCCCTGTGTGCGCACCAGAGACTCCTGACCTAAAGCACCTGAATGCCTGGACCATTCACCCTGCTGGGCTGGGTGATGTTGCCTTCCATTGCTACACCAGCATCTGGTGTAAGTACATCCCATCTTCCAAGGCCAAGTATGTAGACCCCTCATCCCAGGCCACCCATTTCTGGGGTAGCACCTATGCCTGCCATGAGGCCTGAGTGCAGGGCAACACACAGAATAAGCAAATGATAGCTATGAATTGGGAAAAGGGACAGAAACAGTCATCACAATGTAGACACACAGACCGATAAGTAAAAGGCGAAACAGGTTTCTCTAACAATGGTACCAGCTTCAACTTGGTGGAGACTGACTTCACCCTCCACAAACACGGTGGCACCTGAGTATACAGCACCAATGGGAAAGTCCCTTAAAATACACTGGTGCTACGAGAAGTGAAATTTGTGATTTCTGGGAGCTAACTCCCCCCATAAGTTAGCCTCGTGAGAGCCACGGGGGCTACTTTTGTTCAAA